ACTTGGAAATTTTGCAAAAAATCTATATATACTATAAAGAAACCGATCGCAAATAATAACAAATAAGAAAGTTAAATTCGATCGGGATCGAATCTTTTATAGCCATCATCGTTATCCCAAAAAAGGCAAAAGAGGGAAAAGAACGAAACGTTGATGCTCTATAATATGGAGTGGGCGTAGACGATTTTGTCGACGTCCTTCGAAAACTTTAGATCAATTCCAAATTCTTTTGCAAATTTGGAGGCGATTCGCTAATGTGAAAAAGTTGACCACCAATACTACAAAGTAGCACAAACAATTAGATGGACGGACAAAACGGTTGACACGTTTAGATGTATTCCAAATTTGAAATTGGCCAAGAATTTGCATACTTTTTGAGGTTTTTGAGGCTTGTTGCTGCACGTTATAAAGGTACTAAAAAAACAATTAAAATGTGATACACTCTACACGCTCTATACACTATAGGTATATAGGGTAGGCGTGGTCAACAGAATATCCATTCAAATTTTTGTACATTTATTTGCTATAGTTTATGAATAATGAGCAAAAACCCAATTTTTCATTCCCTTTGAAAAACAGATAAGTTCTTAGTTTACGTGGTGTTGTGGGCGCGTCCTTCGACAGATGTGGACCATTTTCAATACTAACCTGCGTGCAAGAACTTTTAACGGTTTTACCAAATTTCAGCTCCATCTTTGCGCCCAGGAGAATATTTACAGCAGACCTTACACCGACGGACAGACGGACAGACGAAATTGTTTCAATCGATTTAGAAGTTGATGCTGATCAAGAATATATACACCTTGTAGAGTCTTCGAAACATCCTTCTAGGCGTTGCATACGTTTCGTCAAAATGAATATGCTCCTCATCCTACGGTGATGGGTATAAAAATGAATAACTTTTTTTATACCAAACTAGCGCTTTTTCTAGAAAGTAATAAAAATGTTCCCCTTTAGCCTGCCCAGTGTGGACTTATAGATCAAATGGTCAGTGTTTCAGTGGTCAATGGTCAGTGACCTATGGTCAGTGTTTCATATTCCGTCAAATTATTTCGAAAGTCAGATCATATCATTCACGTAATCATCAAATTATGAAAACAGAACTTAAGCGACGTAAAGGCGGACAGATGAGCGCTTATATCGATCCATAAAATTATTCCCATAAAAGATATCTACTTCGCAAGTCCTTCCGGGTTTTGCATGCATTGACGCAAACTTCATATACCCTAACCAAAAGTGCTTCAGAGCCTAATTATCTTATCTTTTACCCATAATTCATGCACATTTCCCATCAACGTAGTTCCACAAGCCTGAGACTTGTCGCATAACAGATCTTAATTCATCGCTAAATATATATACATTTTCAAAATTCCCACAAATGTGACCACGACGTAAAGATGAAGAGACGGGAAAACGAAAGACCTAAATGTCGTATTCGAATTTTGAGTAAATTATTACCAAAAGTGCCACTAATCAATGAATTATAAAATGATAGCAAAAATTTACCAAAACCAGAAAGAATACAATTTTTTACTTGCTTGGCATCTTTGATATACATAAAGATAAATATGAATAAATCAGTTTAGCCTTGTATGTGTTACTATATGGGGTCTTTAATAAACATGTTTATTAGGAGGGAATCAAGTATTCATCGTAGTGTTTAGTGTTAATTATAAAAATACGAAATCGTTGCCAAGTCAAAATTTTTATATTCAGACTCATTTATGCCGACATTTGGACTTAACTAAGGTCTTTGTATGCTCATTAACGAAAAATAAACAACCAACTGTTAGGTAGTAAGGAAATTTTCTGCGATTTTTCGTTATAAGATTGAAATGTAAGTAATTTTGCTAAACCCCTTCTGTTATCGCACTAGTTCCATGCACTACCTAAATTTCCCTATATGTCTTATATGTTCACGTTGACTTTCCACGTCTTACCCAGGCCTTAATACTATAACATAACCGATCATTTTGAAACATAAGTCTGCTCTACATAATTATATATACCTTTAACCGTAGTTACTGTATAACTGACTGAAAAAAAAAAAAAGAAGTTATTTTAACCGCCTAATACTATGGTAACTTTTCTTAAACCGAATACGAGAAGAGCAGGTTTAACAACATTCTCTTTCTAATTTTCTTAATCTATATGAAATAATATCACAAATGGAACAATGTGACGATTTGATTATGGATATGATTTCCCTTCAGATACTTGTTCCAGCATTTCTCTCACTCATCTCACTATTGAAATGATTATTTTCCAATGTGTTAGCGATACCCCTTTATGCATGCGCTTGTTTTCTCATTTGATGGGAAACGCTTTCCACATCTGAATCCTTTGCTTAGTACAAAAAAAAAATAAAAAATAAAAAATTAGGACATTAGGTGGTGTCAGATCAAGTGTTTCATATTTTATTTCTTCTAATTTCGTCTTTGCAAAAATGCTTCTGTTAGACGGTGTATTATGCAAACTGAGATTTTTCTAACGAATTATTTTTTTTATCCCCGTTACCATTACTTATGAGCCTTAAGTACTCCCATGCAATTGATTCATCGATTAACAACAATTTGTTTACATCCCAACAAACTGCCCCCTTCAGCATTTTAGACGTACTTGACGACTTTTGCTATTCAGAAATTTAAGAACCTATTTATGAACGGAATTCGCCCCGTGGCTTGTTATTCGAGTGATAAGATTCATCTCGATTGTTAACAATCGAGGAGCAAGAAACTAAATTTCGCTCAAAGGCTTTTTTCCTTCGAACTTATCATATTCGACGTAGATAGACGTAGAAAATCTCATATACCGGTGCATGCGAGCTGGGTGTGATCATTTCACGATAATCACCAATCTTGAGATAACGGTGTGAAACGTTATCCGTGCATTTCTGACAATCGAGTAACGAGTAGGTATTCTTAGTAGTTTAACTGTTTTTAGATAGAAAAGAAGATAGGAAATGGGTGATATCCTCCATAGAGATGCCGTCGTTCAAATCGTAACAGTTCGGTTTAAACTCTGTCTTTGCTATACCCCCAACTATAATATTATGGAGATCGATGCAGATTCAACAGGTCTGTGGAATTCATATTCGATTTATATGGATAAACCGAATGCACTCTTGCATTAAGCGACGTACAATAAAGCCCACATCTATAATATATAATCGGAATTCAAGCGAGCAACCGGCATCAGGTGGCGTAAGAAAAATTGTTTAGTAAACAATAGCTGCTCACAATTTTATTGCTTGCGGAGTATGTCTGTGTCCAGCCGCTGCAGATGACCTTCGCAGGGCTCGTTGTGGTCCTTTCAAAGTAGTAGGCTTACTTAATTTTGAGTCCGTGTGCCATCGGGCACCGAAGAACCAATCGACTTAGCTCGATGGTCGAGCCCAAAATATATTCACTGATCTAATAATTAATTACAATAGTTTATCTATTTTGCCATAACTAATTAATTACAAATAGAAGAAAGTTTTCCCGTCCGTCCATGTCTAGACCACATAAACCAAAACAATATATAATGATTTCCGTTAGAGGCGCCAAGATGCCTATAAGTTGATAACAAAAATGTTCAGAAGCTCTCAAACGTATAGTCATCGATGACACGACTATATCCACAATTACTTCGACTATTCTTCCTTCCCTTACTGTTTAGACGGTGCTCTTGCATTGTTAAAGTAGTACCTAAACGTTAAGTCAGCTAATCCGGCTGTCACCTCAACAAATCAATATTTTACTTAAATTAGTCGAAGTATCCTTAAAATTAATCGCAGACGAAATGATTAACAATAAATATGCAGTGTTTTATGACCTGAAGTTGTGACCGTAAACTTTCTGTTTTCTGCTTTGATAACTGTGCATAATTGATTTTTATCACTAACCTAGAATCACAATAATCATTCACAATCAATGAGAGCAGTCATGGGCATACGGTTTTCCTTTATCTCATCCAATTATAGAAAATTTGGTTGAAATGAAAATAAGGAAAGAACAAAATCCTGCCTATCGCCTTAAATTAGATTATTTTGTGTTTCATTTAAGATTAAAATGGCTGATGTGTCTCCTCCTCGCACTTTCATCGTCTGCCTATGAATCAATAATATACGCGTGCACACCGCACACACATTTGAAAAAATATTGCTTGTCTCTACCTTTGAAAGCAATCAAACGATGCTATAAAATGCGTGGTGAGTTGAGTACAGTTTGGTTATATTTTAAGAGAATTACCCCTCGATAAACTCACCAAAGCTTTAACCCGTATAATAAGCGTTTAAAAAATTAAAATGTCACTCAGAAATGCGAAGAGAGCCCGAAAGCATAGTCATGCTGATGTTGGTGTCTTTATCTTCCTGTGAAACGATGAAATGTTGTGCCAAAAATTGTAAAAAATTCATAAGTATATCATATGAACGAACAATTTAATGTACAAAAAGTAGGAAGATCAATATGGCCGTCATAACAAATGTATCCGTTTAATCGACTCATGTCTATTAGAATGAGTAAGAAAGGGAATGGAAAAAAAAGTCTTATTGACTTGCTAAGCCAAACAGAGGGAGAGAAAAAGCGAGAGAGACATATACTTATAGTAGCTCACACAGCTCACACGGTATTTATTGCTTTTAAAGCGCATGTAATGGTTTATATACTTCTATAATGTATCCACTAAAAAAATATATTTAAACAACCACCACCATCACCATCACCACCACCACCACCACTACCGAAAGAACAATTACTGGTTTTTTTTTTTTTTTTTTATTTTTACACAGTTTGCATACGCACACACTAACTGGCTGAAAAAGTCAAACTAACAGATACTTTGATAACGTCAAAGCAGGCAGGTGCGCTTAGTTTCATTTCGAACGTAGATGTGAACGTTGTAAGCGCGTCAAGGTCTGAAAGGTTAAAAGTGGAAAACAAAAAAACAAAAAAAACCAAAATAAAAGTAGCAATCAATTAATAAAAGAAAATTAAGATTAAGTAACAAAAATTTTATATTACCATTAAGAAGGCAAACTGAAAATAAATAAATAAATAAAATCAATAATAGATAAATGGCAACAAGATTTTAGATATCGTACGAAGAAAAAAATTGATTTAAAATATTAAGTAATTTTTTTTTTGTTTGTTGTTTGTTTGTTTGTAGTCTTGCAAAAAATATTTTATAAAAATTATTATAAAATCCTTATAGTGGCAATGAAAGATTCAGTAACAATTTTACGACCCGCTTTAACAACCGCCACAACAGCTATAGATGAACATAAGAAAATGTCAAATATGAAACCAAATCGTTCGCGTTTTATGATTAATGATATCTTGGCGGGCAGTGCGGCGGCTGCTGCTGCTGTAGAAGCGGCCAATGCAGCGGCAGTTTTCTATAAACAACAACAACAACAGCAACAACAACAACAACAGCAACAACAACAACAGCAATCGCAAAATAGCAATAATAACAACGGTGATTCAAATCAAGCGCATTCACCGCCTTTGGGAGCAGCACATCATGCCGGTCATCATGCTGGCTTGCCGTTAACTCATGTCCACGCGAATCATGTTATTCCAGGTCATCATCATCATTCACATCACCAGCACAACCAGCATCCGAATCATCATCATCAACATCATCATCATCATCATCATCATCATAATCATCATAATCATCACCAGCAGCAACATCAGCCGCCACCAATAGCTCAACATTCCGTCGGAACACCATCGGCTACGGTACCGGGTATACATCCGCATCCACCTGCTACACATAAAATGCATTTTCCCGTCGGTGCTACGCAAATCGGTTCAAATGGCCTAAACGTGGCTCAATATGCAGCCGCCATGCAACAACATTACGCAAATGCGGCCAATGCAGCACGAGCCGCGGCCGCTGCTGTAGCGGCTGACCGTAGTCATACCGGCGAACTGGATGATAGCAGCGATTATCAGGATAATGAAGATTGCGATAGTGATAATGGTAGCGGCGGTGGTGGTGGTGGTGGTGGTCATCTGGATGACAATAGCGTTTGTAGTAATGGTGAGGTGAGCTTATGTTTATTATTGGGGTGTGAGGAGGATAGCGAGAATAGGAAAACGAGGAATAAAATTAATTTGATGGGGTATTGCAGAGAGAGGCTAAAACGAAAATACATTTATGTTTTCTCGCTAGAAGAAATTTACAGAAATGTAAAGCAATCAGTGAAATTCTAAAATATCTTATCATGAATTTTACTTTCGATTGTACATAATTTATACGATTTTGATTTAGTTTAAAGCAAAAGTGAAGTTTTCAATTGTTTTTTTTTTTTATTTTGCTTAGCTATCTATCGATTTACTCGTATATTTTCTTTTAAAGGTAAAGACTAAACGATCCGTTTAGTTAATTTTTTTTTTTTTGTTTTTTTTGCATAGAATATATCTTGAATTACGTAGACAAGTGTGTAGTAAGTCTCTCTATTCACATGCTTGCGAAAAATACAAGAATAAAAATTGCAAAGAAAAAACATTTTTATAAGAATATATATTAGACGATTAGATGGATGTATGTGCGGTTGAGAAGTCTGTTTTACTCAAAAAGCCCTCCATGAGCCAAGCAAACTGTTTAACCCTTTTATGATGTCAAACAAAGCTTTTAGAAAAGACTGTAAAGCGATTTATGATCTGAAGTCAATGAAGCTAAACCGTCTCAAGACGTTACCGTTGTTCTAAGGCCTGAAATATTTAATAAATTGTCAAAAAAAAAAAAAAAAAATCTGTCTGCTAGATTTTGTTAGGACCTTGGAAGGACGAGATATTTTCAGATTGCTTTGCTCCCTTAGTTTCGCACCCAACACTATCATGTGTTTTTCATATATAGTCCAATAGCCGTTTAAGGCTGAGTATAAGATTTTCCTAAAATAAGGAGAAGAGCATGAAAAGGGATGAAAAGAGAAAAGAAAGTTGCTGGAAATTTTTATTAAGAGCTCTAAGATGCTCATTACAAATCAATTTGTTTTTTGATTTAATAAATAACCAAAGAATTTCATTTCATTCAGCAAACAAAAGCTTTATGAAAGTTTATAAATATTTTTACGATCTCCCAATTTAAGTTAATCGAGTTGTGCACTCTCATATCTGTCCGTCCATTGGTTCATTCCTTATTAGAACATTCAAGGACCAAAAATATATATATATATCAAAGGATTTATATTAGCCGAGCGTTTATATCTCGTGTACTCCTACAAAGATAAAGGAAAATGGTTTAAAAAAACTATTAAAAAGGCTTAAAAGGCTTAAAATATTTCCTTCTAGATCTTATTGTGAAAAATGTGGAACAATAATGGTAGTGGTAGTAGTGCAGTGAACGTAAAATAGTAAAAAAGAGATCTACCATAAATTAAACTTAAGTAAACATCAATACCCGATGACTCGCCAGAAGGAGTTGATAGCAAGAATTGCAAATTTTGGTCAGCAAACTGTAACGGCTTATTGACATAGGCAAATTGTCATCATTAGTTTTATAAAT